GTGTATTTTTTTTCCAAAAGCCTTGTGAAGTCACAAGATTCTTATGATGTCATAATGAGTAATATTGCTTACTACACACGTTACCCTTCATTTGACGGATAACACCATGAAGCTTTTCTCTCAGGGTAAAGCAACCAAAGTGTACAGCAAAATAAAATAATAAGGATTGTACCAACTAAAGGTTAGTGCATATTACTGTGATGATGTCGGGAATATGTCACCAAAACAATGTGTCAGGTTAAAAATCAATTATAAAATTTAGTGCAGTGTTAGATTTTTCCACCGGTTTGTACTGGGTCCATACACAAGCTCCTTTTTAAACATAAATTATTTCATGACTTCCTGTTTTATATTCAAAACACAGAAGTTGTGTTGTGTGTCAGGTAAAGACCACTTGACCAATCTTATCACTGTGTTTTTAGTTTAATGTAATTGGAAATACTCATGTTTACATGGTTTTGTACTTTTGCTCTCAGACCGGTGCTAATATTTGCTACAATTTCCATAAAACATTATTTTTGTAATATGTCATAGGGTTTATTTACTAAAACAGCGCAATGGTAATTTTAGGTCAAAATATTTGAAATTATAGTAATCTCCAGGATGGCTATTTTGCATCTCAGCTACTTTGATCTAAATGTTAAAATCTCATAATTAATTCTCCACTATCCCTAGTTCATGGAATAAACCCAATTTTTATTATTCTTCACAAATGCTAAGGCATGGCCTTCAGTTGTGGGAGGGGCATGTTACCCTACTTAAACCCCCCTACTCACCTTCCTCCGTCCCGTACGTGCTTTTAGCGATCCGCATGTCGCTATTTCCGGTCGTCTTCTCCTCCTTTGCCTGGTCCCTCGTGGTTCTCCTTACCTGGCCTGCTGTTTCCCCGCTGTTTTTGTTTCGTCCGCAGTCCTTTCGGGGCTCTGCTCCGGTCAGCTGTCCATCCAGTCACCTCTTCTGATTTGTGAGATACTTACCTCCGTTCGGGTTTTTTTTTCTCCCCTTCCCTTGTTTCTTGATGCTCGTGGCTGTCTGGCGTTCGCCTGTTTCTTTCCCCACAAACGGCATGCTATTTAGCTTGTTTTCTGCACGAAAGCCCTATGGCCAGATAGGGTTTTCGTGCAGTTTTTTTGTCTCCTTGGGGTCCGTTTTCGGTCGGGGGCTTTGTAGCCAAGACGAGATGCTCTGTCTTTCAGTTGTCACAGTTTGTTTTAATTAGGGCAGTTTTACTCCTTTATGGAATGTAGTGGTAGTTTTTGCATTAGGCTGTCATGTTGCACCTTCTAAAACACTATATTAGTGTTTAAAGTACCTAAACAGCATTTATTACTTATAAGTACTCAGCATTTGTAATTTCAGAGGTTTGGATTTAACGTTTTTGAGTCAGTGGTTTTGGGCGTGGGACGGAAGCTGGCATGTATGTTTCGAATATTGCTAATTGAGCTCAGATGTATGCTCAATTATAATCTCAGAGCACAGTTCGGTTATCCTGGGACTTTGCCCAGCACCTGGCCAGATAAGGAGATTGGGGGATCCAAAACTGCATTTCTCTTGACCGGCAATTGATTAAATGGGGAGTTATTCATTAAATGATTGACTCTGGACAGGCATGTAACGCTCTTTTATTGTGCTTGTGCATTGTGTTTTGTTGCACTGCGCTCTCTTGTTGGTGCTGGGACTTCTCCTTTAACTTTATGGCCAGTTTACTCCAGTGTACCTCAGAATGACACATTATGTCTTTACTGCAGTTTACCGCTACAATTTTCACAGGTGATATGACTACAGCACAACTCCACGGTAATACGTTATTATATCACCATGGCTTTCCTCTGCAGTGGCATATAGTGACTTTTTATTTTCACTTTATCACTTCCCAGTAACTTAACGTCACGTACCCACCTCTTTCAATTTCTTAAAATAAATAAATAAATAAATAAATAAAAATAAATACTCAAACACAAATATATACCCTTATGAGCCGCGCGGGCTATACGCACATACACGCATTCTATTTCCTATTTCCATGCGTACTCCTCTCTCACTCACTACCCTACCCTCCTAGTTAGCTTTTTTCTAAGTTATTTTTACTAATACTGCCAGCTTTAAAAAGTAATTCACAATGCATTAACTACTTTCAGGGGTCAGAACCTACAAAATACAAAAAGCATTTTGAAAATGCAATTGCAAGTCTGGACTCGGTAGTGGAGGAATGTGATTTGATACGAGGGGCTGTGTGGTGCTATTGATGATCACTCTTCCATTAAAGAGACACTAGATGCCAGCATTGACCCTTTTCAAATACATTATGGAGAAAATGTTTTAAAATTAGACATGTGCAAAATTTCAGTTCATCCATAACCAAATTATTCATCCCAATTAAAATACTTTTAATCCACACCTCAGTGACGTGATAACTGGGTGAATCAATACCAGGTATCGATTTGTTTTGGTGTGGATTAAGAGCATTTGACATATAGATTCAGTAATGGGCGAATCAAAGTTTTGCAAATATCTAATTAAATAAATTGGGAATAAACAACAAAGATACTATTTTCCAATTATGACTAATTTGCTTAAATTCCTCTGCAGGAACCAGTAATCATCTAATATTTTTAAGCAAACTCTGGTCCTTTCATATTTTTTCAAAAGTAGCACTGTAAATATCTCATAAACCACTGTCCATCATGAGATATGAAGTTTAGCAGTTCTAAGTAGTTTAATTCATGAAAATGCATGAATTAAACTAAGTGGCAACCTTAAAGAATCTGCAAATGTTTTTGTAAATCACGGATGCTCTAATTAGCCAAACTAACTAATGATAGTATACCAGATAACATTGCCACTTCCACAGTAAAATAGTAATTGGAACAGTTTTACATCCCAAAAAGCAAATATAGGCTAAAAAGGTTGTGTGACGGACCAACTGGCACCCCGACAGGGTACCTCAATCGCTGCTTCCTAGTACTTGCGAGCACCATAAGCACTGTACTGGAACACCATAACCACCGTAGACTCCCACAAACAGCCACAGCTTGGTTGGGGATCTCGCCACCCTCCACCCACCCTGGACCCAGGACCTGGATCCAGCTTTCAGTGGGTAGACCACTCCTTGTCCAGAGAGCATAGCAGGAACAGCTCTTATAAGAGCTAGTGATTATACTCAGGGGAGTATTGTGATATATCAATCCCCAGAGTGTATGTAGTTCTCCAATCCCCCAAACATGAGCCAAGACTTCATGAAGGGGTAAACGAATCTCAGTTTAATGGGAGCCACACCTGGCCTTATATGACAATCCCCATGCAAGGGGTACGCCCACAGGGATCTTGTGGGGGACTGATTTGCAACTTCACAGGCCAATAACAATAAGGTTAAAAGGCACGACACAAGGCACGACACTCCCACACACAGCACACAATCCTTCCCCCTAATTGGATCAGTAACTACTAATTCTAATCCCATTATCTCCAAGCACTTAAAAAACACTTTTTAGAAACACCCCAAAAGTACCCTACAAATACATAAAACCCCACAAATGTTACATCCCCTGATAGCTCTGATCTGGGTGACCAACATTTCCAAAAATCCCCCAGGTCAGTTGAGGGGTTCAGGAATTTCCTGATAGGCTTTTTTTTGACCGACCGTGCACATGGTCCTATGCCCAAAACAGTTCCACGGAATCAGGGCTAATGGTCAGTCTCTCTGTCTGGAGTACAAAAGTACATAACTCACATGAACAGAGCTTTTTCAAGTGCATTGGGCAAGGTATATTGCACGGCCCATAGTCCTGAGGCAAGATGCTGGCCAGCAGGCCCCTTCAAGAACCCATGACGAGGTTCAGTTCGTCACAGGTTGTAATGTTATAAATTCAAGTTTAGTAAACATATTTCCATGATACAATTGAGCCTCACATTCTGATCTATGGGTTTTAACTTGTCCCATAAACACTTGTCCAGCAAGGACTTATGGTATAAGCAGTTTAGTTTCTATCACAGTTGCACTCATCAAATATGATGAGTGGAACTGATGATAGAAAACAGTCAAACAAGAGTCTAGAGGACATAGTACATAGACCTGCAAAGGTAAATTTCTTCAAATTTGTATAGCCCAAGGATTGCAATGTTATGGAGAATAGTTCACACTGCACACCTTGTAGCAATGATAATGGGACTGTGGATTTTTGTAATCTTATCTTCTTGGCAAAATAATATTAGCACAGGATGTTATATCTGTAAACAAACATGCAAAAAAATCCAAAGTAACCCTCAGCTTTTTGCAGGAGATATTTTTACGACTTGTTTATTTATTTTGCTGAATTTATTCAACTACGTTGCAGACATAGTGATAATTTACTTTTTAAACATGGTCTTGTGATAAAAACACTGCACAGTACTGAGCTTTTCAACTTCAGTCTCATTTTTCTCTAAATTAATTTCTGGAGAATAAATTGTCTACAAATTGTACAGATCAGATGCTGGCGTAAACTCTATTCCATTTTAGGCTGGGAACATTGGGATTCATTCCTAAACCAGAGATTGTGCATGACTGACAAAGGGATTGAAAATGTTAGGTACAAATAGCTGATGTAGAAAAATAATGTAATTTTTAGCTACTTTAGCCTACAATTTGCATTTTACAGATCTCTAGTAATAACTGTTGACATATTTTTCAAAGTTCTAAAGGGAAGATCTAACTGGTTAAAGGTTATAGTTTTAGCCACACTTTTAGGATTTGGGATTTCAGTTTATATTGCTTGTGCCTAAACATTCTGATACTGTTTATCCCTAATTCCCATGGTTTTTATACATTATATGGTATGTTTTCTTGAAATCTTTTTCTTCTTCTATCTTGACAAGCTTTTTAGTCATGAAAGGGCACGATCTGTTCCAGCAAAGGGAAGGGAGAGGGAGGGGTAAAAACACAGAGGGGATAGGGAGGTAGGAGAGTTAAAGGGAGGAAACCAGTGGCGGAACTACCACCGATCTTGCTAATGCAGCTGCACCGGGGCCCACAGGGTCAGGGGGCTATTGGGTGGCCCATGCACTTGGGGCTACCCAATGAGTATTATTGCTGAACAGGACTGGTCATATTAAAGGGGCTCAGTCAGGCGCCAGGACCCTTTAAAAGTGCGACCAAGCCTCTGTAATATGGCCAATGCTGGGAGAAAGTGACAGTTGATCACTTCCTCCCAGCTTTAAAGAGAGAGTACCACGCTGGAGGGAGGGAGGAGGAGACGGCAGCAGCAAATGTAGCTCGGAGAAGAGAGGAAGAAGTGAGCTGCTGCAGACTCTAACTCCCATCAGCCTCATCCAGGAAAAGCAGGGCCCCAAGCAAGTTTCCCTCCTGGACACAACATGTATGCTAAAAGGAGGGTGGCTGCAAATATAAAATTACATGTATGTGTCTATGTGTGTCATATTTTGTGTGTGTAGGTCAAGGTCTGTGCATGTATCAGTATGTGCATCTTTGTGTTAAGGTGTATACATGTCAGTGTGTATCTGTGTGTCAGTGTGTGCATTTGTCAAAGTGTGTGTATGTGTCAAGGTGTGCATTTGTGTGTGTGTGTGTGTGTGTGTGTATATATGTCAGTCAGTGTGCATAGCTCTGTGTCAGTTTGCATATCTCTGGGTCAGTGTGAGTATCTTAGAGTCAGTGTATATATCTCTATGTGTGTGTATGTGTCAGTGTGTTTATACGTGTTTATGTGTTAATGTGTATGTATATCTGTTTAAGTATGTATGTATGTGTGTATGTGAATACATCCAAGCAAACACCAACACAACCCGCAAAAACACTCCTGCAATCTGAAACAAATATTACACACAAACACATCCTTGCATTCAAACTCCAAAATTATATACAAACACACTCCTTCACTTAAACACCAACACTACACACAAATGTACATCCACATTTCTAAACCAACATTGCATCCAAACACACCCCTGCAATCAAACATAAACATTACATACAAACACAGCCCTGTATTAAAACACAAAAATTATACACAAAACCCTTCATTGAAACACCAACACTACACACAAAAGCACACCTGCATTTAAAAGTCAACACTATATACAATCACACCCCTGCATTTAAACAGAAACACTACACACAATTACACCACAACCTTCCAATGGCATCAGTACATACAAATAATCCCATACATGCACACAGTTACATGCTTACAACCAAATGTACACACAGACACTGCTCACAAATACAACCCTTCAAGGATGGGCAAATGGTAGATCCCCAGCTGGCCTAGCATTGCTGGAATTGTACAACAGATTGGGATTTACCTTTTGGCTACTCTTATGCTAGAGGAGGTGCCCAAAAAAAACTGTCTTGCACCAGGGCTTTCTCTACGTTAGTCCTGCCGCTGGAGGGAACACACAAGACTTCCCTTGCAGGCTCTGCCTGCATGGGAGAACCACATTACGTCTGTTGCCAGCATCCAGTGCGCACTAATAAGAGACTTATTTTATGTACAGAATTGACATTGGCAGCCCAGAGTTCTGGGCTCCCAATGTCTAGTGTCCTGGGGGTGCAACTTGCCCCTGGCACAAAAGTGCTAATTAGTCTGGATGTGCAGTGTTTCAAGCTGAAAATTCAGCGTCTCCATGCAGAACGTTGGGATACTGAATGGCAGGGCTGCACAGTAGGAGCCAGGAAGTACCTCCAGTGGCCATCTGAGGAGTATCTGAGGTGTCTCTGAAAAGGCAGTGTTTACATGAAAAATGCCTGAAGGCAATGATTATACTCACCAGAACAACTACATTAAGCTATAGTTGTTCTGGTGATTATAGTGTCCCTTTAACTTTAATGAAACTTCTCTCAACAGGATTTTGACTTCTTCCTGACCTTTCCTTATAAGTATCCACATATAAACATACATGTCCAAAATGGTGATATAATGCATTCTATTCAGCATGTGCTGGGTCTGTATGTGTTGCATTGTGTCTTGATACATTATGTGAAGCTCAGTGAATGTATGGTTTCCTTGTATAAAGGTCGGCTGATTCTCCCCCCGCCCCCAATCTTTGCCACTGTCCGTATCCTTGATACGCCTCCAACTATTCAACAGCTACAAAAATATCTCAACACAACTTAATTAAATCTGTCCTCTGATAAGTATGATAGTGACTTAGCCTGTTGGTTGCACAGGTCATAATTTCTTAATTTTAGACAGTGACAGATATTCTACTAGATTTGGCTCAAGTTTTCACTCTAGTTCTTGTTTCGCTGTTTTCTACTTTTTTTTAAAAAAAATTCCCTTTCTTTTTACTTTAGTGTTATATTTATGTTTCTTTCTAATTTATGAATGATAAAATAAACACTGTTAATTCACTTATTTGTATTAAAAAATGAAAATAAATAAAATGCACATTCTCACTACCCCTCCTCCCAGAAAAATGATGTCAATATTTTTATTATTTTTTTATTATTGGTTTCTATAAAAAAATGTGTTTTATGTTTTGGAAAATTCAGTATACTGCTGTGAAACTACTGAGGATAGCTGAAGTCTTTTTTTCACTTAAGAACTCTCATTAGTCATTTGGGCATCTTCATATACAGGACATGTCTCTATCTCATTATTGTCATAGGAATGTGGTAGTGTTATATTTTCATACTTTGGTTCCAAGTGTCCTGTACCCTCTGGGCTTTGATAGATATGCTCTTCATTTAAGTTTTGTTCCAAGAGCACTGGATCAGTCAAGCTGGAGTACACATTCTCCAAATTACCGGTGCTTCCCTCCCACTCAGTGTCCCCCTCACCCTTAGTTACTACTTTCTTAAGAATGGAGGAACTTGGCACAAGGGCTTTCCTTTTTGTGTTGTCCTGCAACCTGGCATTTGGGGGCACATTTGAGGAGTCACAGGTTTTGCTGGTAGTTTTGCCTTCTTCTTCATATATCTTTGTTTGAGAAGCTCTGAAATTTGGTGGCTGCAGTAAACTTTTCCGTACTGGTTTTGGAATACCTTTCTGAAAGCTGCCCAAACGTTTCAGCACAGCCTGGACTGCCCCATCCACATTGCCTTCTGATTTTCTACGAGGCTTATATGGCTTTTTGGGGGGTCCAACGCTCACGTAAACAGTTGATATAACAGGGATCTTCCTTTTCATTTCATAAATATTTTCACTTGTGCCAGATTCTGCCATTTCAATTTTCAAGGCTACTTTCTGTGCATTAGACATAGTTCTTCGGCGCCCAACTGGCATGCTTCTTTGGAGTTTTGGATGATCTTCCAGTTCCGGGTTCAGTTTTCCATTGGTCTGCTCACATTTTTGTAGTTCTTCCCCATTGAGTGTATTTGACTGTATCGAAGGCAGTTTTGGCAAACTTAAAGCAAGTTTTGGCTTCCGAGCAAGATTTGGTGTATCAGTGGTGGAGGATCTTCTGCTTTCAAATCTGGTTCCCTCAGCAAATGATACTGATGGCCTTTTGGCTTTGGCAATGCTGGAAGTCCTGGGGATGGAAAATGGTTGACAGGAGTCGTCTGAGTTAAAAGCTAGTGCTTCTGGAAATACATTGCACTTAGAACTCATCTCCTGGAATCCATCGATATCTGCTACAGACATTCCTGAAACGAAGTATCAATGGTCAATATTTAAGCAGGTCTCTCACTGCTATATCACTTCAGAGTATTTTACAAAAAAACCATCTTCATGAAATACTCATATTGCGTACATTTTAAGGATAATGGAATTAAAGTACAAAGAAAGGAGAAACCTCAGGAGGAGCAAAATTGAAAAACGCAAAATGTGGCCACAAATTAATCGAAATAAAATAAAGGTTTGTGCACTATCCAAGAAAATGTTTTTAGGTTTTTTAGAAAGATAAATATATTCACACTGTGCTGCAAATGCATCCCACTGTTGCTCAGGAAGTGAAATGAGTATCAGAAAAACAAAGAATGAAGGCTGAGCTACAAGTTGCAATGTGCATCAGATGTTCTACTCAAATTAATTTGAAGGACATAGGAAACAGGCAAATGTTTTAGGGCAATCCCCTTTTTCAATGCAGCATACAGCATGGGGTTAATAAACTGCTCTACCACTTGTGAATGTGAAAAGGTAGAAAGGAGATGGAACAGGGAACTTGCAGTGATGATGGTGCTCATAGTGTGCCCTCATTCATCTGGAAAAATGTCAGCTCACGGGCAGGGCTTTTTACCTTTTGTTTTGGTCTGTGCATATTGTACTGTCTTGTCCTCAGTCGTACTGCGCTTTGGAATATGCTGGTGTTTTATAAATGATAATAATAATAATGATGGCAGCTAATATGGTAGGCTATATGTGGAAGCAAAATTTGCGAAATCCATTTAACACTGGCCATTTGTTCCCCACATTTTAGAATATTCAGTTCTCACGTAGACTGATTATTAAACCAACTAAAGTCATCGTACCTGTGTGTGGTGAAATGAACACATCCACATTTATTACATTTAAACCCAAAGAAAATATCTGTGTATTACCTTCTCTGGGAGGAACACAATACACAGGTCCCCCATCATCTGACTCAAATGAGGAAAAAGAATTCTCTGATAACCAGCCAGTGGAAGGGGACTCGATGAAGCTATGATTGAAGGGAAGCTCGGCATCATGATGTGACACTGGAACATAAAAGCCACAGTGTTTAATATGTATAGCAATGGGTACATTGGAAAGGAAAAGGTATTGGATTCAAAAATCTCTTACCTGTAACCCAGGAAAGTTTTGAATTACCAACAGAACAACAAGGTAACACAGAATAAATGTTTGCCAGAGCTCCCTGAAAATTGTGCTTCATTCGGGATAAGGACCCACCTTCTCCATTGTTTACCCTGTAATCAAGCAAAATTATGTTTAAATTAGGGTTTTAGCAAAGGGTAGACATATAACTGTTGTCTATTACACTTTTAATGATGTAGTATAACAATTTAACTTTTATTTGGAACTAAGACGAGCGAATCACTTAAAGGACCACTATAGTGCCAGGAAAACATACTCGTTTTCCTGGCTCTATAGGGTCCTTGGGTCCCCCTCACCCTCTGGACCACCCTTCCGCCAGGCTCTTGGGTGAGGAAGGGGTTAATCCCTCCCTCGGCGCTGGGGACTCTCCTCCTCCTTTCCCCGTCATCGGCTGAATGCGCATTCAGCCAGTCTCATAGTAAAGTATTCTCAATGCTTTCCTATGGACGCTGGCATCTTCTCACTGTGAAAATCACAGTGAGAAGCGCGGAAGCGCCTCTAGCGGCTGTCAATGAGACAGCCACTAGAGGCTGGATTAACCCTATTGTAAACATAGCAGTTTCTCTGAAACAGCTATGTTTACAGCAGAAAGGGTTAATTCTAGATGGACCTGGCACCTAGACCACTTCATTAAGCTGAAGTGGTCTGGGTGCCTATAGTGGTCCTTTAATATCATGTGATGGACAACCTATGGCATATCAGCTGACGATAGTTGAGGTTGCCTTTGCATGTAAAAGGTTTTGTCCTATTTGCAATTTGTAGTGTTACAGGATTGAAAGACTTTCTTATTTAAACATACATTTTCAGTAGATTGAGAGGGACAGGGCATAGGAAACCATAGTACCATGTGTGAATGTCTGAATGATTATTTAATGCCTTATCCCTTGTACCAGAGAATATAATTTTTTCAACTGCTTGAGAAAATAGAGGTAATGCTTACATGCCTGTATACCCCAAGGCCGCCATCAGAGGGTGACAACCCTGATGGTTGTCATGGGCCCGGCGGTCCTGGGGGGCCCGGACTGCTCTGGCAGTCCTGGGCCCCACTTTCCCTCTCTGCACACATAGATAGCGAATATCGCTATCTATGTGTGCAGCCGCGGGCCCCCAGCTCCCTGTTACCGCATAGGGGGCCCAGCACACAGTTTCTTCACACACAGTTCATTGCCTCCAATAAATTTCGCAAGACCCGCAGCCTGCGTGCCGCGCGGAGCGTTATTGGAGGCAGTGAACTGCATACACTACACTGACACACACACACTGCATACGCTAGTACAACACACACACTGCATACACTACACTGACACACACACTGCATACACTACACTGACACACACTCTGCATACTCTAGTACAACACACACACTACATACACTACACTGACACACACTGCATTCATTACACTGACACACACTGCATACACTAGTACAACACACACTCTGCATACACTAATACGTCACACTCTGCATACACTACCCGGACACACACTCTGCATTCACTACACACTAACACACTCTCTGCATTCACTACACTAACACACAAACACTTTGCATTCACTACACATTAACACAAACTCTGCATTCACTGCACTAACACGCACACTACATTCATTACACTGACACACACTCTGCATTCACTACACACTAACACACACTCTGCATTCACTACACTAACACACACTGCATTAATTACACACTAACACACACTCTGCATTCACTACACTATGCACACATTCTGCATTTACTATACTGACACACACTCTGCATTCACTACACTGACACACACTCTGCATTTACTATACTGATACACACTCTGCATTCACTACACTGACACACACTCTGCATTTACTATACTGATACACACTCTGCATTCACTACACTGACACACACTCTGCATTAACTATACACACAGCATCCACTACACAAACATCCTGTATTCACAGTACACACACTACATCCACCACACATTGAAACACTCTGCATTCACTATACACAGACACTGCGTCTAATACACACACTACATCCACTACAGACACTGCATCCACTGAACACATTGCATCTAGCACACACAAACACTACA